AGGAGAGAGAGAGAGAGAGAGAGAGAGAGAGAGAGAGAGAGAGAGAGAGAGAGAGAGAGAGAGAGAGAGAGAGAGATGAGGGGAGGGTTAGGAGAAGGCGTGTGGGGAGGGGATTAAAAGGCACACCACAACCATGAATGCATCACCCATCATATCTGTTTTTGCGAGCAAAACCGCAACAGGTCATCTTGTGTATACATAGAGGCATATCACAAAAGGTAGGTGGAATCCTTGCTGAGATTCTGCACTTACTGCCTTTGCATCAATTAAGCAGATCACAGACAAGTTGATGAAACCCTCAGCATGATGATCCGCTAGCCTCTGAAGTCAGCCAATTCTTCGGAAGCAGAGCTCTGATGCTAGGAGGGATCACTGGCTGGCAGATGGGAGTAGGTTTGTACGGGACGCAACACAAATGAAGTGCAGCTGTAACATAGATCCAATGCACAGATTCATCCAGAAACTCTGTCAGATGCAAGCACCCCAACATACCAATAAAGTTGAATAAACCCATTAACCGACCTATCAGCCAGCCACTCGATTAGATCATGAAGTATCCCTGACATTGGACCCCTTGAGCAGAGTGACTCAAAGGGAGCTGCTTGAGAACAGCGCTTACAAAGTTTGGAGAGAGCTAATCCAGCATGATGCTCAAAATCCTGACTGTGTACTGGGTAGCGACTGCCTGCTCACTCCCAGAATGCAAGGGGGTCAGAATTGGGACCCTATGCGAACTGGATGAGTACTGAGGTAGTGATTGCTGTTGTGACCGTGCCTGTGGCTATTATGTGGGTACTCGTTGAGTTGGTTTTGATGGTTTCTGCTGTGACCTTGTGCTGGTAATTGCTACTGTGGCGATCAATGACCATACCTATCTTGATTGTGGTGTGGCGGTTGCTGTAATGGGTGCACTCACCGCGGCGGTCTTGGTTGCTGGTGGTTATGATTTTGGCAGGATTGATGTTCTTCTTTACGAGGAAACAAGTACAGAGATGACTTCAATTCAACCAGAGAGCAATCCCTCGCATTAGTATAAAACATCAAGGAGATATAATTAGATATTAACATTAGTATACTAATATACTGCTACATGACTAGTACAAATAATAACAATTTAATGACTTGCACAATTGCAGTACTTTGCTGAGAAGATGATGTCCTTTTCATCTGATTGCTGAGAATTCCGAGTCTCGGTATGTTTACCGTGTTTTGACTTGCACCTGATGTATGTACATACTACGACAAATAGTATTCATTCAATGACCTTCACAATTGCAGTCTCAGAACTCCGCACTTTTCTGACAAAATGCTTTCCTTCGAATCTGATTGTTAGAATTACGAGTCTGTTCCTGTTTACTGTGTTGTCTGAGTATGCATGTGACCTGCAGCTGATGCAATAACTCGGCCCAAATATGCACCGGCCTCGGGCTGTGGGTCGTTAACTTTTGGTCAAAGGCCCGCAATGGGGGTCAATGGTCACGCCCAAGTCATGAAAACGCCTGCCCGAAGGCCTACCACTGTGGGGTACTGCAGGCAAGGACAGAAACAGCCTCCCGAGGCCCAAAGTGAGACAGTTGACCTTGGGAAAGTCAACAGTGAACTTCAACTCGTGAATTTAGGCCCACGAGTCAAAGTCAACATGTACCTAGCCCTGGCCACAGATCAGACACATGCCTTTGGTTGTCTGCAGGTCTCTGGAAGGATTCAAGTAAAGTGGGAATCTGCAACTGTAGGAGATCCAGTCCATTGACTTACGGACGATCTGGGCCATCGTAGCTGCGAGACCAGAGGCTGGTCAACCGAGTCGACACTATAAGTTGACCCAGCCCCTGCTGGTGGACATTCAGTCTTGCACATGCTTCTTGACACTGGCTTTACGCTGGCTTGATGCTGGCATTACGCTGGCTTGACGCTAGCTCTACACTAGCTTGATGCTGATGCGGCGACGCAGGACTGCTACTGCTTTGTGCTAGCGCCTTTTCTCTATCTACGGTGCCAGCTGGACATTTGATTATGCTGACATGGCTCGCGCCACACTGGTTACGACATTGATGGAGTACGGGCGAGGAGGAGGAGTATCAGGGCTGTGAGATTGGACGAATGTGGAAGGGAAAGCCTACCTGATTGCGTTTCTGTCAACATTGCATATTGCTGAACGTCTTCAAGAGGAGCCTGTGCCAATAGGCGCCATGCTGTGATCGGTTCACTGTCAGAACTCGTGAGGGGAGACTGTTTGCTGACGTGGCGAGTGAGGAGGTGCCCGAAGAGGAAGTGGGCTTGCGAGGGAGATCTATCTGCGATGATGATGATGGATACTCTCTTCCACCCTCTAAGTCTCATCTCCCTCCCCTCAGCTTCTTATCTGGTTACGAGACATTGAGCTACTTGATTTCATATACGATTCTTGGAGACATTGATTCTGCACTGAGACATTTTGTACTTCGACATTGACAAGCTTTTCACTTGACTGGGTTCATTGCTGTTTGATGCTTTCCACTTGACTAGGTTCATCGCAGTTTGGTATTGGAGCGGTATCCTCCATCCTTCGCTATGTGCTGATGCGTGTGGTATCGCGCGTCGTATTCGCGCTATTGATTGTGTTCGGCGCACCTTCATATATTGTGTTCGATTGAACGCATGCACGTTTGTTCATCGCGTGCCTGAATTTTGCGCAGGGGTCTTTGCGCGCGCACGATTCTGATGATATTAATGTTGATGAAGTGGACTTGATCGTTGGCAAGAGGCGCTGACGTGGCGCTGGGCAACTGGGGAGAGAGAGAGAGAGAGAGAGAGAGAGAGCAGCTGATGTGGCTTCGTGAGATCTGACGTGCGCTTGCCGATGTGGTGTTGCGTGACGGTGCTGACGTGGCACCTGCCGAACAGCGGGGTACTGTCTGACATGGCTATTTGTGTATTGTGGCCACTTACCTGCTGATGTGGCATCACACCAGGTTGACGCAGCTTATTGAAGACAATAATCAAGTGATCACATACGGATTGGGGAGACGCTTGCTGCTCGCGTGGCTGCCAAGCATCTCCACTCTTGACGGCCTTATTGGCCATTGACGTTGACGTGGCATGATGTGCGACTTAGGCTTGATTGGAGTGTGACACGTGGTGGATCTGACATGCGCTGCAATCCGAAGGAAGATTGGTGAGAACAGACACTTGCACTTGTGAGATCTGACGGGCGGCACAGCATGAGGCTATGTTGTAGTGCCACGCGTCAGAGCATGTGCCTGGACACAACCATCTGCGCAGAGACAATGAACAGAAGATCAGCGAACACATTGTTGATTGCTGTGTTGCTAATTGATCGATTATACTTACTTGTCGTGGGTTCCTGTGGATAGTTGCAAACTTACCATTGTTGTGTTGTCTTGATCACAATGGTCGTGGCTGCGGAACCTGTAAAGTCTATAGAAACATCATCCGAAAGAAATTCAGCACAGTTAAATATAGGAAAGAAATTTGAGATTCTGAGTCCATAATTTATTTTGTTTTTTGTTTCTTGCCGTAGAAATTGAAATTTGTTTCGTAGTGTGGCCGTGGCGTTTGCAATTGTCTTTTTGAGTTTATTGTGCAGCGTACACACTGGGGAAGATGGCTTATCTCTGGAACTGTTTGCGGGTGTCGATCTTGACTAGATTCATCCCTGTGTTTTTCTTTCCCATTTCATTCACCTTCTTTGCTGATCAAGAAGGGGTGATGCGAACACGTGGCCAAGTAGAGGAGAGACGGCAGCAATTTGCAGCAAATGCTGGGTCGTCTTCGACTCTTCGCCAAGTGCTCACTGAACTAAACGACGCTGGTCCAGACGCTGAACATCATGTGCGCAACCAGATCGATCTGCAAGCAGCGGAAGATGATTTCACGAGGGCCGAAACTGTTGTTCAGATGTTGGAGACCAGCGGAAGGGTGCAGCAGACTATTGATCGAGGACGAATGACCCTCGATCATTTTGTTGTTGAGCAGTTTGTGAAGATAGCTGGTACATAGGCCAAAGAAGAAGGGAAAGGAGAATCAAGGGAAAGAAGGGAGGAACCAGAACTAACTGAAGAAATAATGAATGACACAATCAAACAGTTGCAAGCTGCGTTAGGCGCATAATTGAAAAAGGAAGAATACCAAAGACAGCGAAGAAAGCAAGAACAACAAGCAAGAAAGGAAGAATAAATAAGGCAGAAATTTCATGTTGTGGATTCAGAAATTGACGTGGTGTGTATCTTGCAAAGTATGATGGCTTACCTCGCACACCTAGAGATTAAGATGGATAACATCACCGCAGAATTACAGACGGTGACAAGGCTTGTAAAAGGGAAGAACAAAGTTGTGCAAGAAGAGGTAGCCGAGGAGAAGGAAGAGAAAAAAGAACCTCATAAGGAAATAATGAAAGACGCCGTGAAATCTCGTAACCCGAAAAAAAACGAGCCCACTAAGAAAGAAGCACCAAAGAAGGAAGAAGGGGAAAAGTCGAGAAGGAAAGAAAAGGTGAAGATAAAACTTCCAGTCACTTACAATGGAAAGAAAGGTGAACATCTGCTTTTGTGGATTGCTGAAATCCAGACTTACTGTGAAACCACACAAGTGTTGGAGGACAACCAAGTGGCGTTTTCCATGTTTGTTTAGGGGAAATCGCCAAGGAATGGGTGTTGTCAGAAGCCAACGCAGCTGGTTTCGAGGACATTGGTGGCTTGGCGAAAACCATGACCTTGCGGGAATTTCTCCTGAAGATAAATGAAAGATTCCTCGACAAAAAAATTGTCGACAAAGCATTCGACGAGCTCACCACCATTGGTAAAAAATGTTGGTCCAGTGCCGAATTTTTGTCCCGTGAGGTAGATCGTTTGTTGCAGGTACCTGGATTGAACCTTCAGGATAACCAGGTCCTCTATGTCTACTTGCATGCATCGCCAAAGCCCATATGTGGATAACTCGTGGCAGAGGCTAAGTCTAGTAAGTACAACTACAGGCAATTCAAGGATCTCGCCCTTCAACTAGAGCATATGACCGCGCAGGTTGAGGGAACCTATGCTAACGTTGTGAGGAGTGGACAGACAGATGGGTACGGGAACGGGAAAAGAGTCATGTGGAGGCAGAAGCAACAAGACTACACTCTTGTTGTCTTCGGCGACGAAACTGTCGAGAAATGACCCCTCGAAGAGGAAGAGGGCGAAGCGAGTGGTGGTGGTGAGTCTGGAAAGGGTGACATCACCGCCATGGTGGCCAACAAGGGTGGCACCAACCGAAACGGTAGATTCAAGAAGAGGATGCTACGCTCCTTCCCCGAGCATCTTGGCACTGCTTCTGGCTGACTGTGGGAGAAGATGGGCTTGACCCTAAGTGAATGGCAGTAGCATATGGATAATTGACAGTGTTTGAAATGTGGCACCGCGGAACACATCATTGCATGGTGATTCAAGAAGAGGATGCTACGCTCCTTCCCCGAGCATCTTGGCACTGCTTCTGGCTGACCGTGGGAGAAGATGGGCTTGACCCTGAGTGAATGGCAGTAGCGTATGGATAATCGGCAGTGTTTGAAATGTGGCACCGCGGAACACATCATTGCATGGTGTCCCCTCATCCATAAGCCAAAAGGGAGCAACCAGTAGGAGTAACATCTGCTCCTACTAGGTTGGTGGGTTTGGACAAAGGTAAGGCGCTGACAACCCCTTTCAACCTCCCAACTGGCAAGTCTGCTCCTACTTAGTTGGTGGGTTTGGACAAAGGTAAGGCGCGGACAACCTCTTTCAACCTCCCAACTCGCAAGGCAGAGGATGCCTCTCTTCTTTGACCCACCACCCAGACCACCTTGAAAAGGTTTTGTGTTTTCTCTCACCGGGTGATTCGCTTGATGACCTTGGTTGTGAACTAGTTGCATTACGAAGCTCATGGGCCAAGAAAGCAAAGTCTAAGGGTGAATTGATGATTGCTCACATAGAGATTCCGCATACACGAGTAGGTGCCTTGTCTTCTTCTTCTTCCATTTATCTCGCTCTCCTCTCAGGTTTATTCATTTCTTTTTGCGATTGGACGACATTGTATTTCTTCGTGTATTTGCCATGGCTACGATCCGGATGTTCGGACCGCCATCCATACGGTCTGGATTCAGTCCGGACTCTAGACGTCCAGTCCGGAAGGTCCGGATCTGCCAAAATTCGAGGGAAAAAAAAGAAAAAGGGTCCAGGACCCTTCCCCATTGAGGAGTCAAGCCCCCAAAATTGTTTTGGGGGGGGTTCAGGCCCGTTTATGCTTTTTGGGGGGGTTTCAGGCCCGTTTATGCTTTTTGGGGGGTTCGAACATGCTCTTTCTTTATAATAATTTATAAGACAACCCCAATTTTTTCATTATTAATAATTCATTACCTTTTATTAGTTTTTAAAGTCCTTTTTAAAGCTTTTTTTATAGTTTTTGACTTGTAACTTAAGTTTGGTTACGAATTTTGACATGACTATGAGGCAAAAGTGGTTTGCATTGTTATTTTGCATAGCATACTTTTTTTTCAGATTTTTTCATTTTTATTCTTTTTAATGGTCCAGACATTTCCGGATCGGTCCAGACATCCGGACCGTCCGTATCCCCCCATGTCCGGAGGTCCGGAAATGTTCGAAATTCCGAACGTCCGGAAACTACCGGACACGGGTCCGGTTCGGAAATGTCCGGGTCTGGGTCCTGCGTAGCCATGGTATTTGCACTTCGGAATTGGCAAGGATCGTAACAACTGGAGTGATTGGAGACTAACTGGCTTAGCCTAACGACAAATCGGCCTTACTGGTACTGGACTTACCGTACGGATGGGCCTACCAGTTGGGAGTACATGGGGCACTAGGAATCTAGGACATAGAATTTGAGACATAGAGGTTGAGACATAGAAGCTGAGACAAGTGAACTCCTTTCACTCCCTCCAGCCTAAATTGAAGTCCTCCGAGAAACAACGACTTGTATCATCTTCCAACGATACAAATTCCTCTCCTAGCTTGTTCGTAGTAAGAGAACTATCCGGACCATTGTTTCTTTGAGCCTCTTTCAGGAAACCATCGATCTCTTCAAGTTCTCGATATGGTAATTGAATCTTGTACCGTGGTTGTGGTGGTCCCCTGTTCTCGGATCGTTAGACATCTTCATCTACGATATGGCCTATGCCATATTGGTCATCAAGGGGAGTAGTTGATCGATGCAGGGGAAATGACTTTTCCAACACACAAGGCAGCAACTTGGAGGCATGGAATATCGGGCAAGGTAGTAGGTCCAGAGGTACATCTATGATGCATGAAGGGTTGTCAGCATCTCACATTATATCTTACACTTCCCCCCGTCCTCCATGGGCAGGTAACAAAACTGGGAATTGCCTTCTTATGGTAAATTCCTTACCCAGGAACGATCTCCTACGATGAATTGTGAGGGTCGCCAATGTTTGTTTCCTTGCTTTGCCATGTATGGACTGCAATAGCTGGGTCCGATCTCAGGGCTCAAGAGTTGCAGAATTTCCTGCGCTGTCACTTGTAGCGGTAGCAAAATTTGCACCTGTTGCAAGTCCTGAAAGACTTGCCACCAAACTTAACGAAGAAGAATAAGAAGAAGTATGGAGAGGTGCAAAGGTAGAACGGTTAGAGAGAACTTGAGATTTGGGCCTGATGCATGATTGTCATCTGTTATATCTGATCGCGATGCTCATTGGCCATATATGTCATCTGAGTATGCAGCTGACTCCTTTCGCCGAGTACTTGGGACTTTACACTCGGAAGCTTGCTGAGCAAATGGCAATCTTTGAGGGCACATACGTACTCGACCAAATTTTTTTGACATCTGCATCAGACATGGTTGAGACTGTTTTGAAGACCGTCTCAAGACCTTCGGCGACTGCTTTCCACCTAGCCTCTTCCTCCTCCTCCTTGGCCATTTCCTTCTGGTAGAGGGCCTGGTACAATGGTTTATCCCAATCCTCCGCTCATCCACCCGAGCTTTTAGAATCTCAGAAAGCTTGGGCGGTGCCATGTTGGAACTACTAGATCCTTATGTCGCCATGGCCTCTCTCTTTCTTCTCTCCTGTCCACGCGTCGTGACGGGCATAAAATGGACTTCACTAAAAGAAACGAACTAAAAAAAGCACAAGAAGCGAAGGTTAGAACTCCCAGCCAGAGCGACAAAATATTTGGACTAGAGAGAAACCAACAAAAAATAAATAAATAAAGATAGTTCAAAAGAGAGTTCTGACGCCGTATTTTAGTCCGGTTAGACCAAGTACGAGATCCCCTCGAGCCTAATCCGATCGACACCGTCAAAGTACAGCAAATCAGACTACAAGTTATGACATACAACACTGGAGAGTTGAGTAAGGTGCAGGTCAAGCATCGGATCGTGCATCATGATCTGCAAAAAATGTCGAGATCCCCTCAACAGCGAGTGCTCTAATAAAA